TGTAAGTGCAAGCTGATGTTGCGGATGTGACGAGAGAACTGCAATGTTACAACAGGTGTATTTTATTGTAAACACTTTATTGTATTAATTATTCAGACATTAATTATATATGCTTCTTTTTTAAAAATATATAGAATAAGGAGAATAAAAATTGTACGGTTACGTACGTGGATGAATCACTTTCTCGACGTTAGGATGAGAATCGAGAAACATAGCTACGGCTAATCCATTTTTCATGTGTTTCTGCATTCTTAGTTCGAGCGTTTTCAAGCTACGATTGACTAAGGCACAATCAAATGGTGATGGAACAATTCCCATGACTAATTGAAGAACAAAATGTTATATAAAGTGTTCAAATGCATGCTCGGAAAAGCTCTTGTTGATTTACCAATTTGGTTGGACCGCAATTTCTGCGCGAGATCGTCCCGGCGCGTTATAGCGGCACCCATAATCACATCCGTATGGCCATTCATATACTTTGTCAATGAATACATCACTATATCGGCACCAAGATCAAGAGGTTTCTATATTAAAAGTATAATATGCAGTTTCTATCACATTGGTATCATACGATTGAATGTAATTTTTCTCGAATTTATGCCAAACTTACTTGAAAGTAACATGTCAAAAATGTATTTTCAACTACTAGCATAATGTCTGGACGAGATTTTATCTACTAGTATAATGTCTGGACGAGATTTTAGACTTTCAGCAACAGCCTTTATATCTGTCAGTTTCAGCAGAGGATTTGTCGGCGTCTCAAACCATATCATCTACAATAGAACAAATTCTAGGTAATTCAGAAAATGCTGATATGATATAAAAAACGTAATATTTAAAATACAAAATATTAAATTCTAATACAAGGTAAGTGTAAATATAACACTAGTATTTTTAGGTTTTTTATTTACCTTTGTATTTGGCTGTATGGCATCTATAACATTTTGTATATCAGTCATATCAACGAAGGTATATGTCATGCTCTGTCTGCTACTAAATTTCCGGATGTAATTGTTGGTTCCACCGTAAAGATCATCTCCGACAATCAAATGATCTCCTGCCTTCAATAAACCTGTAATAGCAGTAAGGGTACCTAATCCAGAAGAGAAACAAAAGGCATGTTTGCCATTCTCTAAAGCAGCCAGGCATGTCTCCAGAACGTTACGCGTGGGATTACCGCTTCTGCCATATAAATATTCCTACATGTGAAATGAAACAATTAAAATTCAAATGTCTTTATACAAGATTGTTGATTGTTTTTGCAATAATATTCAAATATATTCAAATTCACTTAGATATTTAAAAAATAGCATGTAACACAAGTACTATTTTTAATCAAATAGTACTTTAAAGTATTTTTAATTTATATTCAAAAGAATAAAGCTTTTACTATTCTTTTTAAAGGATTCTGGGCAGTGAAAATAAGATAAACAGATGCAATCGAATTGTTATTCTACCTTCGAATTGTTATTCTCCCCCGTTCGTAATGTCGATCGGTGGAAATTGCGCTGATTGAACAAATCGAGCGGGAACAACAACGGCGTATAAACATCCGTGTTGCATGCATTAATAAATGCCTATCTCGCTTTTGTCTTTATTGCTAGGAACTATATGTGGATGAATTTTTTGATGAGCCAGACGTTTTAGTACTTACTCCAGATGGTGCTGGATCATCCTGCTTAAAAGTAGTCGACATCACCAAAGGTGGTACAACCGAGCAATGACTCCATTGATCAGGGTTTTGCCCGGCATGGATAGCTATCGTCGCGAAACCTTTTCCCGTTGACGTCATCGTCTATTCAGTAAAAAAAAATGTTCTGCGAATATTGATTAAAAATATAATTTATTGTTAATCTGCTGTAATTAACAGAAATATTGTTTAGTGAAACAATATTTCTGTAAAGGGTTCATATCACTTTGACCTAAACATATACGGGGTTCCCTAAACAGGAGTTGTATCTATATCGTTGAACGATTTTCTTTTTATTAATTTATTAGTAACAATAATATAATAATAACGTTCAGCGTGCGTAATTTTAATTTTATTATTTTTATCAAAAGTTTATTGCGTCTTACTTTTTATGTCACTTTTTATGTCATTTTAAATGCAAGTTAAATTATTATCGTGCGTGTCGTTCAATCCTTCAACCACGGAGTAAATGTAGTAAGAAATAGACTAATTAATTAAAATTAACGTAACTCTAACAGAGAGTTATAATTCTAACATAATAATTCTATTTATACTGAAAAGCGCGTCCGATAACAACTTGGGACTCAAGAGATATCACATTTTTTACGTGACGTTAAAAATGAGATGCGATGAATCTGCTATAAAAATTAAAAAATTAAAATTGTTAAATTCAAATTAGAAAACGAAATCTTGTCTCGTTATTTATACGTTAAGAAAAGAAAGAGAAGTATTCTTTTTTTTTAGAGATCGGAGTGCTCTGGAGCGTTGTGGAACGCTTTGGATAGCGTTCGTAGAATTTAAATTTAATTGCGAGAGTATTCTGTTCGTGATTCTCCTCAACTACACTTTCTGTACTCGTCCAGTTCGGACGTTCTCGACTCCGTTGCAAAAAATGTAGTTGATTAAAGGGACTGTTTTCTTGGCAGTGTAATTCGAGTAATGAAATAGCCTTATCAGGTGCCGAATTAACGAGAACCTATTTGAAAGTCATTAGCAAAATTCACTTACTTAATGTCAATATCGTTGAACGTCTACTGAAACTGAAGTCGATTGAAGTAAACAGACCGACGACGAGCTACTTAAATAACTTACAATTACGTTGACAGCCGTGTGGCCGATAAAGGAGGAGAAGGACAAAGTCTTCTGCACTCTCGTGGGGCGTTGGTCTATTCGCGTTGTTTGCACTTTTCGCACTCAACACCTTCGCTTTCTTTCTCTTCAACGTTCGAATACATATTTATCTCATTTCAAGTGCAAAAATTTTTGAGGGTTTCAAGAAGAATTTTGAACAGACCTGTACTGCCTGATGATATAACATCTGACGTAATGATATATCACGATATATATGCTAACATGAAGTAGATGCGCGATACGCACATATCGATACACACAATGTATCGTTACGCGAAAAAAAATTTTTTTTGCAAAAATATAGGTTATAAATTTAAAAATGCAATTCCAACCGACATTTTCGCAAAACAAATCATTCTTTCTCGTAACAATATTTATTTTTACCGTATCGATCGAAAAAAAAAATAGAGAACAAATTGAAATCTTCAATGTTAGGAATGTGCGATACGAGAAAATGCGTATCGATTTTAATTTGTAATTTGCATTTAAGATATTATGTATATTTGTTAGTATGATTATTAATGTATATATTTACCTACTATATGATATTACTGTATATTATGTTACATACATATGTAACATAATAAGTACATTTTGAATTTTTAAAAATATGCACTAAAATATACATTAATGCTACAAATAAATATTTATTGTGTATTATATAATTGTGAATATTCGTTCATTCCTATTCCCATTATATAAAAAACTAATAAAGATTCTAATAATCACAATTTCAACTTTCAGGAGTTTTCAAGGTATCAGGAGAATACATGGCAAACAGAGTTTGTATTATACATAAAACTTCAAAAATATTTCTTATTTCCTAGAGAGAGAATTTAATTTCTGTATTTCTAAAAATTATCTTGTCGAAAATTCAAATTTGCGATAATCAAATATCGTTATAGAGTATAATAAAAAAATATAATCTGTAAGAAATTTTATATATATCATTTTATCTATAAGGAAGCTGAAGTATTCAAAATTTCCAGAATTTTATACAACATGTAATGCGAAAAGGTTGAAAGTAGTACGCAACTCGATAAGAAATCGTTCATTGAACATCAATTCCGTTGTAATTTCTCACTAGGAATGTGGAACACGGAACGTTAAACAGCAAACACGAAACACTCAACACACACAACGCATGCACGCACAATACACAATGCGGCATGTGAAAAGCGTGTATAGATAGTTCTACATTGATCGCATCGCAGCTTCGCAAGCGTGTCGCAAACATTGCAATCTAATCAGAGTCGAGCTAGCTTGATTGGACCGCAACGCTTGCGACACTGTGATGCAACTAATGTAGAACAAGCTTAATACAACACGATACCTACTACGATCGTACGAAGATCACTTGTAAATCTCTGGCGTGTCCACATCATAAAATTCGTCATAACATACGATTCATCAATGACGCTGCTAATTTAGGTCGTGTTCGTATTTTACTGTCAGTTGTCAGTACAGTATAATATGTCTCGATGTCCTCAACTCGCGGTCTCGCGTAAAGGAATACGGTAGTGTCGTTGCGCTTGTCTTAGCGCTGAGACATTATCGTATCTCCCGATATAACGGGAATTATAGCTTTTCAGTACTGGCAGTCATCTGGCAATCATTTGGCAGTAATAAACGAACATGGCCCTAATCTGCAGATTACATTCATATATCTGGCGATAGTCGAGCATCCATTACGATTTTGATCCATTCAAATGAAGAAATGAATAAATATATAAAGATAATCCATACACTGGACTCTCTTTTCATTTATTGAAGTCGAATTTATCATACCTTGTAATTATTGTCGTTAATAACGACCAGATAAGGGTTGACATGTTTGTAGATTTTGTTTTTATGAATTTTAAATAAGCAATTAGCATTAAACATCTTGGTTAGTTCTTAGCCCTTATGTGTATTTATTACTTTGTTTAAATTATTTGAGCTCATTATCTAATCGTTCATTGTTGTAATTTATTTTGTTTTTGAACTTGAAAATACATTTATCTGCATATTCAGAAATGCTTGACAATTCTTCGTTAATTCATTAACAATTAAGCGTCCAATGCTTGTTTGAGATCAGCTATGAGATCATCTTCGGTTTCAAGGCCAACGGATAATCGTATTAATTGATCAGTTATGCCTAACTTTGCTCGCATATCTTCCGGCACGGACTCGTGCGTCATTAAAGATCTAAAATGAGACAAATTAGTTCAAACTATATTTCTAAATATACAAATTTCTCGAATATACTTACGGCAATTCGGCTAGCGATTCGTAACCGCCTAAGGATTCAGCTAAAATGAAAACTTTCAATGCTAGCAAAAAGCGCTTAGAATCGCCTTTCAGATAGAAAGAAACCATTCCGCTGTGCCCTGTTTGTTGTGTAAGTGCAAGCTGATGTTGCGGATGTGATGAGAGAACTGCAATGTTACAACACGTGTATTTTATTGTAAACATTTTATTGTCGTATTAATTATTCAGACATTAATTATATATGCTTCTTTTTTAAAAACATACAGAATAAGGAGAATAAAAAATTGTATGGTTACATACGTGGATGAATCACTTTCTCGATATTAGGATGAGAATCAAGAAACATGGCTACGGCTAAACCATTTTTCATGTGTTTCTGCATTCTCAGTTCGAGCGTTTTCAAGCTACGATTGACTAAGGCACAATCAAATGGTGATGGAATAATTCCCATGACTAAATTGAAAAAGAAAATGTTATATAAAAGGTTCAAATGCATGGCTCGGAAAAGCTCTTGTTGATTTACCATTTTGGTTGATCAATCTCTGTCCGAGATCGCTCCGGCGCGTTATAGCGGCACCCATAATGACGTCCGAATGGCCATTCATATACTTTGTCAATGAATACATCGATATATCGGCACCAAGGTCAAGAGGTCTCTATTTTACAAGCATAATATATTGGTTACAGTTTCTTTCACATTGACATTATACGATTGAATATAATTTTTCTCAAGTTTATGCCAAACTTACTTGAAAGTAACATGTCAAAAATGTATTATCAACCACTAGTATAATGTCTGGACGAGATTTCAGACTTTCAGTAACAGCCTTTATATCTGTCAGTTTCATCAAAGGATTTGTCGGCGTCTCTAGCCATATCATCTACAATAGAACAAATTATAATGCAGAAAATATTAATGCGACACATTAAAAAAATATTATAATATATTTAAAATACAAAATATTAAATTCTAATAAATAGAGGTAAGTGTAAATAATACAGTAATATTTAAAATTTTTTTTATTTACTTTTGTATTTGGTTGTATGGCATCTATAACATTCTGTACATCAGTCATGTCAACAAAGGTGTATTTCAGGCCTTGTTTGCTACCGCATTTTTGGATGTAACTAATGGTTCCACCGTAAAGATCGTCTCCGACAACCAAATGATCTCCTGTCTCCAATAGACCTATAATAGCAGTAAGAGTTCCTAATCCAGAAGAAAAGCAGAAAGCATGTTTGCCATTCTCTAAAGCAGCCAGGCATGTCTCCAGAACGTCACGCGTAGGATTGCCGCTTCTGCCATATGCAAAACGCTACATGTAAAATGAAACAGTTAAAATTTAAACGCCATTATACAAGATTGTCTTTTTGCCATAATATGCAAATGTATTTTAATTCACTTAGATAATTTGGAAATAATATACACAAGTATTATTTTAATCAAAAAGTTCTTAAAAGTATTTTTAAATTATATTCAAAGAAATAAAGTTTCTACATAAGTCTACAGTAGTCTTTCTACATAATTCTGTGCAAGTGAAGATAAGATAAACATATGTAATCGAATTGTTATTTAACCTTGGCGAATATTTGACCCACGTGAACTGTTATGTGACTTAATTTTGAACTGTAGATTTATATTGCAGAACTGGAAAATTAAAAAATTTAATAATTCATATACAAATATTAGATATTAGGCATACAAATATTAGATATTAGGCAAGATGCAATCTCAGCCGCACTTGCTGCTCCTACATTTATATCTATTATTCACATAAGTGATTTAATATATTATTGTTTATTTGTTCCTCAGATTAATAAAGAAAAAGGCTAAATTTTTCAAAATTATACTAAATTCTCATACCTTAATCGTAGGTGTCAAAGGATTTGCGGGTTATCGTCATGCCGTTCATTTCATCAGGGTGAGGAGCGCGCGATACTATATCAGTGCGCTTCTCGCCCTCATTATGTGAATGGCAAAGCTCACGAAACGTTAGCATTAGCAATGGATCGCGACACGGCGATAATCCGCAAATCCTTTGGCATCTCTGAAGAAAATACTCTTGAAAGCCCCAAAAGTATTATCAGTTTATATTTTAATATACGAAAATATATACTTGCTTTGACAACAGTACGTTTGGCTCGCATTTTTCTTGTTAAATCGCCAATTACTTACCTATTAATTAAATTCCCAAGTCATTACTTTTTCTTTTTTTATTTATTTGTTTCTCATCTGTTCCATTTATTTGTCTTTTATTTGTTTAAATTATTTGTTACTTTATTTGTTTCAACATTTCAACAAAAAATAATATAAATAAATTTATTTTTAAAAAATATTCCATTTTCATAGCTTGTATGTAACTTTAATTTTATTAATTACAGGAACTTTATGCAATTTTTGCTACAGACGCTACGTTTGATATTAATTAATTAACGGAGAATAATTGCTAAAAACCATATGGGTGGATTTTAATGAGTCAGACTTACTTTAAGCTGTGCTGGATCATCCTGCTTAAAAGTAGCTGACATCACCAAAGGTGGTACAACCGAGCAATGATTCCACTGATCAGGATCTTGCCCAGCATGGATAGCTATCGTCGCGAAACCTTTTTCCTTTGAAGTCATTGTCTATTTAGCAAAAAATTTTCTGCAAATATTAAAAATAAATAATAAATTAAAAATATAATTTATTATTAACTTGCTATGATTAATTAATAGAAATATTATTTGTTGAAATTCGTATTTAGGGGACCCAATTCAAATCACTTTGATTTTGACATACATGTGTGGTTTCCTAAATGGAGAGTTTTACCTATTGTTTAACAATTTTATTAATATATTTATTGGTATAGTGATAATTAATATAGTAATAACGTTTGGCACACGCAACTTTAGTTTTTTATCGAAGATTTATTGCATCTTATTTTTTGCGCCGTTTTAAATGCAAGTTATCGTGCGTGTTCAGTCTTTCGATCATCCACGAAATAAACGTAAGAAACAGACCAATTAAAATTAACATAATTCTAACGCAGTCTATTTATATTATTTGTACTGAACAACACGTTCGGTAACAACTAGCAACTTAAGAGATAACACATTTACGTGTCATAAAAAGTGAGATGCAATAAATCATCGATAAAAATTAAAATTGTCAAATGCAAATCAGGAGACAAAGTCTTGTCTTATTATTTATACGTTGAGAAAAGAAAAAGAAACTTTTTTCAGAGATCGGAGCGCTCGTTCAATTTAGAATTTAGAGCGCTCATTTAACTTAAATTTAAACTTATAGTTGAGAGAGTATTTTGTTCGAGATCCTTGTCAGCTACTTTCGCACTCGTCTTGTTCGGACGTGTCGGGCTCCGTTGAAAAAAAATGTAGCTGATCAAAGATATTGTATTCTTGACAGCGAACTTACAATTTAAGCGATGAAATAGCCTTATTAAATACCGAATTAACGAGAATCTACTGTCAGCGAAATTTACTTACGTTGATGCCAATATCGCTGAATATTCACTGAAACTGAAATGATCTGACCTGAGCTACTTAAATAACTTGTAGTGATGTCAACCGCGTAGCCGATAATGCAATCATATATCGTGATATATGTTAATATGAAGTAGGGATGTGTGCGATACGCGTATTAATACATACGACGTATCGTCACGCGAAAAAATGTCTATTATACCAACATTTTGCAAAAAAATCAGTTTTTTTTTCGTAACGATATATGTATTTTTACCTTATTGATACAAGAAGAAAAACAGAGAATATACAAATTTAAATTGATATGTCATGTTAGAAATGTGACAAATAGATAACGTACGTATAATAATATAGGTAATGTACGTATAAATTAAAATAAAATATATATATTATCAATAATACTAATCGTATAAGGTTATAAAAATATTTAAAATATTGGTACATATACTATCAGTATTATTGATTCAATATTAATGATTAATAATGTTGAATATTAATGATGAATATTAATGACAGTATTATTGTAGGATCACCTTAATGCAACACGATACTACGATCTACGATCGTACGAAGTTCACTTTACTCATCTCTCGCGCCCACGTCACACAATTCGTCATAGAGACGTACAATAAGTTATCACCGATTTTGCAAATTACATGCACATATCAAGCGATAGTCGATCCATCGCGCTTTGATACACCTAAGTGAAAAAAAATGATTAAATATGATTAAATATTAAATATGTAATTCATAGGATAATTCAGATGGCCCAGATTTCTTCAGCCCGCAAAAACAACGATTTCCTGATATCCTTTTATTGACGTATAACGATAATGTGGCACTCAATTTATGTTTTATACGTCAGACTTATACTTTATAAAACGTTTACGATCATTCTTGTACTTTTCATTTCAAATGCGAATTTTGTAAATTCACATGTTTTTAATCAAACAACAAGGGAAGATGACCTGCGCCAATTGTCCTTACAAATTTTATTATATCGACGACACGAATCATTTTACCAATTGAATGACTTTAAGCAGCAATACACTGAACATGGGATTATACATTTCTCCTATAAGACATGCGAGCGAAAATTGCAAGAACATCTTCCTTTTCATTTATTGTAGTTGTCGAATTAATGGCAACGGATCATATACCTCGTTATTATTGTCACATTGATAAGAGTTGAAACGTCTGTGGTTTATGTTTATGTAAATTTTAAATAAGCAATTAGCATTAAACATCTCGCTTGGCTCGTAGCTCTTATGTATATTTATTATTTTGTTTAAATTATTTGAGCCTGTTATCCAGTCGTTTATTGTTGTAATTTATTTTATTTCTGAACTTGAAAATACATTTATTTGCATATTCAAAAATGCTTGATAACATTTCGTTAATTCATTGACAAGCGTCCAATGCTTGTTTGAGATCGGCTATGAGATCGTGTTCAGTTTCAAGGCCAACTGATAATCGAATTAATTGATCAGTTACACCTAAGTTTGCTCGCATATCTTCTGGCACGGACTCGTGCGTCATTACGGATCTAAGTAAGAAGAATAGATTAAAAATATATTTTTAAACACACATTTCTCGAATATACTTACGGCAATTCGGCTAGCGATTGGTAACCGCCTAAGGATACGGCTAAAACGAAAACTTTCAATGCTAGTAAAAAGCGCTTAGAATCGCCTTTCAGATAGAAAGAAATCATTCCGCTGTGCCCTGTTTGTTGTGTAAGTGCAAGCTGATGTTGCGGATGTGACGAGAGAACTGCAATGTAACAACACGTGTATTTTATTGTAAACACTTTATCGTCGTATTAATTATTCAGACATTAATTATATATATTCCTTTTTTAAAAATATATAGAATAAGGAGAATAAATAATTGTACGGTTACATACGTGGATGAATCACTTTCTCGATATTAGGATGAGAATCAAGAAACATGGCTACGGCTAAACCATTTTTCATGTGTTTCTGCATTCTCAGTTCGAGCGTTTTCAAGCTACGATTGACTAAGGCACAGTCAAATGGTGATGGAATAATTCCCATGACTAAATTGAAAAAGAAAATGTTATATAATGTGTTCAAATGCATGGCTCCGAAAAGCTTCTGTTGATTTACCAGTTTGGTTAAATTGCAATTTCTGCGCGAGATCGTCCCGGCGCGTTATAGCGGCACCCATAATCACATCCGTATGACCATTCATATACTTTGTCAATGAATACATTGCTATATCGGCACCAAGATCAAGAGGTTTCTGTTTTAAAAGCATAATATGTTGGTTACAGTTTCTTTCACATTGACATCATACGATTGAAGATAATTTTTCTCGAATTTATGCCAAACTTACTTGAAAGTAACATGTCAAAAATGTATTATCAACCACTAGTATAATGTCTGGACGAGATTTCAGACTTTCAGCAACAGCCTTTATATCTGTCAGTTTCATCAAAGGATTTGTCGGCGTCTCTAGCCATATCATCTTTTATAGAACAAATTATAATGCAGAAAATACTAATGTGATGTTAAAAAACATAATATTTAGAATAATAGATATTAAATTCTACAAGGTAAGTGTAAATAACGCAGTAATATTTTTAGTTTTTTATTTACCTTTGTATTTGGCTGTATGGCATTTTTAACATTTTGTACATCAGTCATGTCAACGAAGGTATGTTGCACACCTTGTTTGCTACTACAATTCTGAATGTAACTATTGGTTCCACCGTAAAGATCATCTTCGACAATCAAATGATCTCCTGCCTCCAATAAACCTATAATAGCAGTAAGAGTACCTAATTCAGAGGAAAAGCAAAAGGCGTGTTTGCCATTCTCTAAAGCAGCTAGGCATATTTCCAGAACGTTGCGCGTAGGATTACAGATTCTTCCGTATCCAAAATGCTACATGTAAAATGAAACAATTAAAATTAAAACGCCATTATTCAAGATTATTTCTTTGCCATAATATTCAAATAAATTCGAATTCACTTAGATAATTTGAAAATGATATGTATAAGTATTATTTTAATAAAAATTATACTTAAAAATATTTTCAAATTATATTCAAAGGAATAAAGCTTTTACATGTTCTTTCAAAATAATTCTGTGCAGTGAAGAATAAGATAAACAGATGCAATCGAACTGTCACTTAATTTTTCACCTACGCGAATTGTTATGTGACTTTTTAACTGTAGATTTATGTTGCAAAACTGCAAATTATTTAATAATTCATATAAGAATATTAGATATCAGGCACCAAGATGCAGTCTCGACGTTACTTGCTGCTCCTATACTTATTTCTACTATTTACATAAGTTTAATATATTACTGTTTATTTGTTCCTCAGGTTAATAAAGAAAAAGTTCAAAATTTTTCAAAATTATAATAAATTCTTATATAGCTTATATACCTTAGTTAGAAGTGCCAAGGGGTTTGCGGTTTATCACTGTGCCGTCCTGATGAAGTGAACGGCAAAGTTTACGAAACGTTGGTATTAGCAATGGATCACGACACGGCGATAATCCGCAAACCCTTTGGCATCTTTGAAGAATACATCCGTGAAAACCTCAAAAGTATTATCAGCTTATACTTTAGTATTCAAAAATATATACTTGCTTCGACAACAGCACGTTTGGCTCGCATTTTGCTCGTTAAGTTATTTAGCTATTAAATTCCCAAATCATTCCTTTTTCATTTTTTATTTATCTGCTTCTCATCTATTTCATTTATCTGTTTCTTATTTGTTTCAATTATCTGTTGCTTATTTGTTTCAACTTTTCAACAGAAAGTGATATAAATAAATTTATAAAATAAATATGCTATTTTTATAGCATGTAACTTTAATTTTATTAATAGATACAGAGAAACTTAATATAATTTTTGCTAAGTACAATTAATTGATTTAATAACAAGGAGTAATTGCTAGAATCTATATATGGATGAATCTTGATGAGCCAGACGTTTCGTACTTACTCTGGGCAGAGCTGGACTGTCTTGTTTAAAAGTGGCGGACATCACCAAAGGTGGCACAACTGAGCAATGATTCCACTGATCAGGATCTTGCCCGGCATGGATTGCTATCGTCGCGAAACCTTTTTCAGTCGACGTCATTGTCTATTCAGTAAAAAAAATATTCTGCAAATACTAATCAAAACTATATTTTATTATTAATTTGTTGTAATTAATAGAAACATTGTTTGGTGAAACTCCTATTTAGGGTACCCCGTTCATATTACTTTGACCTGGACATATCCTCCAAACAGGAGTTTTACCTATTGTTTAACAACTTGATTAATATATTTATTAGTAATGATAATAAATATAATAATAACTTACAATTCAGGCGATGAAATAGCCTTATCAAATGCACAATTAACGAGAATTTATTTGAGGGTCGCTAGCGAAATTCACTTTTATTGATGCCGATACCGTTGAATATCTGTTAAAACTGAAATGACTTGACCAGCGCGGTAAGCTACTTAAACAACTTGCAATGATTGTCAACCGCGTGGGTGATAATGCAACCATATATCATGATAATATATATGTTAATATGAATGGGATGTGCGATAATCGTATTAAAATGCACACGACATATCGTTACGTGAAAAAAGACGATTTTTTGCAAAAATGTCTATTACAGATCGCCTCTAAAGGCAATTTCGACATTTTTGCAAAAAAATCAGTTTTTTCTCGTAATGATTCATGTATTTTTACCGTATCGGTAGAGAAGAAAAATAGAGAATATACAAATTTAAATCGATATATCATTAGGGATGTGATATATAGATAATGGACGTATAAATTAAAGTAAAATATATTGTCATAAATATATTGTCATAAGTATATTGTTAAAATAAATATATTGTCAATAATCGTATAAGGTTTGTAAAAATATTAAAAATATTGATGTATACTGTCAGTATTGATTCAATATTAATAATGAATATTATTGACCGTGTAGGGTACCACCTTAATGCGATACTAATATACGATCTACGATCGCTACGATCGTACGAAGTTCACTTTACGAAACTTTAAGAAATTTT